GTAAGCAAATGTTCCAGGCGCTTTATAAACGCTTTGTTACTGGTTTGCATTGAACTCCACTTTGATTTATTTTTTGAGATTAGTGCCAAAACCACGACCCCAAGAACAGTGTGACTAAATGAACTTTATAAATACTTTGTTACTGGTTGTGTATCAGTACCTCAAACTAAAATGTTTCTAAATAAATGTTTTTTGCAGTTTGTTACTTTTTCTTTTATATATTATAAATTCTGAAGGAAATCAAGATAACCATATATGGTAAGTTACCATATATGATAACTTTATTCCTACTTTGCAACATTTTTTATTTTTAGGTCAGAAAAATGAAAACATTTTGAAATGTATAGAGCTTTGCGTCAGACAGGAGTCAGGGTGTCACAAAGCTCTTTCTGTCCAGTCGTTTTTTGCTAAAGTCCAGCCCACCCACTTAGCACGCTTTATAACCGAGGCAGCGTTCATTCATTCTACCTGCTTCACAATCACCACATCGCTGCTCCACCAGCCTCTGCAGATTGACAAATCTCCTTCTGCTCCTCCCTAACCACCCCCACTTTTTTAAAAACAGTTCAATTTCATAACCGTTTATTAAATAACCAATCATTCTCACTCAACCAGTCGAGGCAGATGGCCACCTTTCCTGAGCCTGGTTCTGCTGGAGGTTTTTTTTCCCTTCCTACCTTGGTTTTTTTTTTTATTTTGTTCCTTCCCACCGTTGCCAACCGCTTGCTCAGAGGGAGTCCAAAGGCAACTTTGGATTGTTGGGTTCTCTGTTTAAATTTGTAAGGTCTTCACCTTACCATGTTAAGCGCTATGTGATGACATGTTGTAAACAGCGCTATACATCCATCCATCATCTACACACTGCTTAATCCTCAGGGCTGCACTTAGAGACAGGCAACCAAGCACACTCACATTCACACCTATGGACAATTTAGAATCACCAATTAACATCAACATGTTTTTGGACCTTGTGGGAGGAAGCCGGAGAACCTGGAGAGAACCCACGCTGTGTGGGGAGAACATGCAAACTACTCGCAGAAAGATCCCAGGTGTCCTCACCGGGATGTGAACAGCCGACTTTCTTGCTGTGAGGCAATGATGCTAACCACCGAGCCACCTTGAAGTCCCAGCACTATTCAAATAAAATTAAATAGAGAATTGAATTGAATTGAATAACCCTGGTTGTTTCCCATATCGTGGGACTGTAGGATGCAGATGGTTCATTATTGTACCTTGGAAGGATGTAATCTGGATTTTGTAAAGTGAGGATCATTTAGTTGGTCTCCTTGTTCTTGTGTTTATACTGTATTTGAATATTGTGAATTTAAGGCTCTGCTGGGGGGTTGTGATGTCAGGGNTGGCTAATTCTGAACTGAGGACTACATAATAGAAAACAGACTGGGAGATACTGAATCATTAGGTAATGGTCAGTTCATAAATATAAATAATATAGGTCAAATCCAAAGCAACAGTAACATTTGGACATGTTTAAATAAGCTTTGTGAAAAATTGTGTGTCAATCCGAGCTCCATCGCCAGGTTTTTCAGCGAACGACATTTGTACTGGTTTGTCAGCTCAGTGTGAATTTCCCAGTAAAAGCCTACATGTCACTCTTCCTAATCATGAAATGATGAGGGATTGTTTTGTAACTTCTCAGAATCAATTTATTTCCTGCTGCACAAAAAGAGAAACTCATCATTTACTAATTATTCATGAATACATCATTACTCATCTCTGTCATGTTGAACTGATTTAAAGAAAGACTGCTTGGCAATGACACACAAAATTGTTCTCTAATTCTAATTGAACAGATAAATGTAAATGTGCATGTGTCATTAGTAGACGAGGAAGGAGCTGTTTTGCATCTTGACATGCAGCCCAAATTCCAAAAAACTTCACTTCTGACAGCGAATCAAGACTGACTGATTGAATGCGCTTGAACTGCCATCTGTTTCCTGCCGTTGCAGGAGGAGGAGAGCTGAAAATCTTCAAAAGCTTTGTGTTGGTGCTTCAGTCATGTCAAATATGCTGACTTTTCTGGAAACCACTTTTAAAAGGAACAACATCAGAGGGTTTGTTCTGTTGATGCCAGCCTTCTGCAGAACACAGTCAGAGAGCTACAGATGGGGACCCGGGACTGACTGAACCTGAACTTTCAGGGAAAATGCTGATGCTACACTATATTTTTCAAATTGTCGATAAAATAGTCGAAGGTGGTGGTTTACGCTTGCCGCTCCTCCTTCTTAGTGCCATTTTTAGTCACAACAGGCTGTTTTGTCAGTGATTAGCTGGTGTATATGGTGACCTTTCTCAGGAACTGGACTGAGAGAAACTGTTTGATGAGTTGACAATAAAAGCTTAGATCTGATGTGGGCGCATTCAGCACATATGTGACCCACATGCACGAAATCAGTCACACATAATGGTATTCGACAGCGATATGGACCATAATATTATTACACTCTGTAATATGTTACCTACATGTAGAAAACAACTGAATGGACCAATCTAAGCAATAAACCCAAAATCAATGTTTTGTCATGTGTTATTCAGACTGTATCTCGAATATAGGTCAGATTT